TGAACACTGATATATTCAATTATGCTCCTTCACTTTTTCCTTTGTGAATAGTCTAAATAAGTTACTATATATCTTTGAGTGGACAATCTAAAGTCCATACAGACAAATACTCCCTCCTGGCAGTATGGCTCGGGGATAAGTAATTTAGAAAAGTCAGGCACATTTGGCTTTTAAGCTTTACCCATGAGCCAGCTCTACTGGAATTCTTTATCCTTATTCCTTTGCCTGTCCAATTAAAAAAAAAAAAGCTGGAATAATATAGTATCCTGAGTAGCTGCCCTTGAGAGTAAGCCTCAACTGTCAAAGCTCCTGAAAATATTAAAAGTGAGCTGAAGACTTCTGGGAATTTTTACCTCAGCTGAAAAACCAGTAGTGGGCATGATGGACTAACAGGGACCCAATATACTCTCCCACTTTCAGTAGCTTAAGCTACTAAAGAACCAGGCAAACTGTATGAAAAAGGGTTTTTAGAAACTGGGCAATAGGCAGTACAGGACTGTGATCTCAGAGAGAAGAAAAGCAGATGAGGTGATCCTGACACCTGCTCCAGCTAACTACCTGCAGGGAGTGTTCATGCCTCCATGATGGGGTGGGTGGGGGATGACCCAGGTGGGGGATGACCCGGGTGGGGGATGACCCACGTGGGGGTGACCCGGGTGGGTGTGACCCACGTGGGGGTGACCCGAGTGGGGGGTGACCCGGGTGGGGGTGAGCCAGGTGGGGGATGGCCCAGGTGGGTGGGTGACCCAGGTGGGGCCCAGCAGCATTCCTGGGTTGAGAAAATAGAGTGGATAAGCAAAGGAAGCCAAGGTAGGGGGAACAGGCAAAGCAGAGGACGGGAGAGGAGAGAGCTTCCCAGAGAATCACAGAAGCTAAAAAAGGTTCACCTCTGGGCTTCACCTGCATCCACATCAGCTTGTCTGTGGGAGGACAGTGCCCAAGGTAAAGGGAGAAAGCACAGGAAAGGAGCATGTGACAATGCCCAGAGCTCAAGCAGGGCACGGGAGACCTGGTATTCCCACTAGCTGGGGCGGAAAAACCTTGTGATGCCTCGGGGACCAGACAGGGTATTCAGGACAAGGGAAAAGTAGCTTTAAACTAAAGGCTGTTTCTGCTCTTCTTTCATCTTTTAACAGTGTTGCTGCATAAAGTATGAATTTCAATAATTAACACGCAACATGAACTAGAAGTACTTTGTGGACTGGCAGAACTGCTAAAGCCCTCATTTTCCTTACGTCATTTCTGATGTGCTAAAATGTACATATAACATAAAGTTTGACATTTGAGCCATTTTTAAGTGTACAATTCAGTGATATTAGTCACAATTTGTGTAAGACAGTTTCATCACCCCAAATAGAAACTCTGTAACCATTAAGCAGTAACTTCCCCACCCCTCTACACCAGTCCCTGATAATTCCTGTCTTAATTTCTGTCTCTAGAAATTTGCATTATCTACATACCTCATATAAGTGGAGTCACGCAGTATTTGTCTTTTTTACATCTAGCTTCTTTCAGTTAACATAATGTTTCCAAGGTTCATCTGTGTTGTAACATGAATGTGAACTTCATTTCTTTTTATGGCTGAATAATAGACCATTGTCCATATACGCCATGCTTTGTTTATCCATTCAGCTGTTGATGGACACTTGTGTTGATTCCACCTTTTGGTTACTGAATGCTGGAATGAACACTGGCAGATAAGCACCTGAATATCTGTTTTCAATGTGTTTCGTTACACACCTAAGTGGAGTTGGTGAGGATATGGTATTTCTGTATTTAGCTTTTTGCGAAAGTACCAGGCTGTTTCTCACAGTGGCTACACCATTTTACATTCCCACCAGCATGTAGAAAGATTCCAATTCATCCATATCCTTGCCAACACTTATTTCCTTAAAAAAAATTGTAGCCATCTCAGTAAATATGAAGTGCTATTTCATCATGGTTTATATTTGCATTTCCCTAACGCTGATATGTATAAGCATCTTTCATATGCTTATTTGACAATTGTACATCTTCTTTGCACAAATGTCTACTCAAGTCCTTTGCCCATTTTTGAATTGGTTTGTTGTTGAATTGTAAGAGTTCTTTCTATATATGGATATTAAACATGTATCAGTTACATGATTTGCAAATATTTTTCTTACAATCTTTTCACTTTCTTGATAATACCCTTTGATGCACAAAAGTTTTTAATTTCGATGAAGTCCAATTTATCTATCTTCCTTTTTGTTGCTTACACTTTTGGTGTCATATCTAGGAAGCCACTGCCAAACGCAAGGTCATAAAGATTTACCCATATGTTTTCTTCTAAGAGTTTTATGGTTTTAGCTCTTACATCCTGGTCACTGATTCATTCTGAGTTAAGTTTTGTACATGGTGTGATACAGGGTTCTAACCTCACTCTTTAGATTGGGGAAATCCAGCTGTTCCAGCACCATCTGTTGAAGAGAAAATCTTTCCCAATTGAATGGACTTGGCATTCATGTAGAAACTCAGCTGGCCAGAGATGTCTGGGTTTCTTTTTGGACTCTCAATTATATTCCATTGCTTTATATGACTATCCTGATGCCATTACCACACTGTTTAGATCACTGTGGCTTTGTAATAAGTTTTAAAATTAGGAAGTGTAAGTCTCCTAACTTTGTTTTTCTTTTTCAACACTGTGTTTTCTGTTAGGGGGCCTCATGCCATTCCATATTGTCGCCTTGCAGCTGCCGACTTGAATGCTCCTGCACACTGATCCTTTGAAGTCATAAGGGAGTGTCTTGGAATGCTGAGACCCGACAGAATGATCTCGGTAAAACTTCCTTATCCGGTGGTCTGGGAATGCTGAGGCCATCCCGGGGATCATACGTGTGAAAGCACAACTCGTGCTTGATCACAATGAGTTTCGGTGAAGCAGCTGCCAGTCTAATCGAATCAATTAATTGGGTATAGATATTCAAATTGACTTCTTTGTGACAGTTGTAAATAAAAGTTATTCGTCCGCCAGTATCAGGGCTCCACTCTCTCGGTCTGCAGAGACAGGATGATCGCTGGCCCACAGAAACTCTATTTTTGACTCTTGTGATTTCTTAGCCCTTCGCCGCCCCTCCTCGAGCCCCCCAGCCCTTGTCACGCGGGACATGATACCATATGAATCTGAGTATCTGCTTTTTCATTTCTGCAAAAAGACTTTGGAGTTTTCAGAGGCATTGCACTGAATCTATAAATTGCTGTGGGTAGTATTGACATCTTAACATTAAATCTTCCTATACATAAACATGGGATATCTTTTGCCAATTTATTTTCATCTAATGAAAAGTATGTTAAGGGCAACCCGTCGAGGATCTCAGTGACTGTACAAAGCTGTGTTCTTGTCCCCTGGCCTAATGTGGCTGCCAGCTCTCCATCCTATGACAAAATTATGATAAAGTAATCCTGGAATGATTTCCAGGATCAATAAGATCTTGCAGTAAAAGCAAAACAAAATCTTAGAACAGCTACTTAAGTATTATGTATTGTTAACATAACAAAATAGGTAAGAAATACTGTTATAGTTTTATTATTATAGTTTATAGTTCCATCACAAAATTAATAAAACATAAACACATAAATATTTTTATATACAGACATATTCAGCAAAAACTGAGTTAATAACCTTTATATATATAATTGCTATTATACAATATTAAAAGAAGAAGCAAATATCTATAAACTATTAAGATTACTGTAGAAACAATTATACTTTGTTTATTCCACTTAATCCTTGTAAGAATTCAATGTTCCATACACCACATCTCACCCTCTATCTCACAGATTTTCCTGAGAGGTGTAGGAAGGTAACTGTCCTGGGCAGTCCAGCTTGGCTGCGGGGGAACCAGGTGGGAGATTATCATAGGAATAACTCAATGTGTTGCAACGGCCCCCATCCTCTTATGCTTATGGAAACCTCTCAGTAAAAAAAGCTTCGAGCATATTCCTAAGATACGTGTGTTTATAAGTTATATAGACAAACTACTTCCTGCTTATTAAATTGGATATTAGTAAAGTTTAATTTCTTTACTTAGAAAATAATAAGTACTAATATTTTCCTCTGGCAACACACTGGTCATCCGTACACCATCATGAAAACAGATGCTTTAGAGCATCCAAGGAAGAAGACAGGAGGCGATGGCTTTGCTCCTGTCACACACCCCGCCTGCTGCTTCTGGAAACTCAGACGCGGAATCGCTGTATGTTTCTTAAAGTATTGTCTCATTCATCTACTGACGTGCCTGTGTCGGTACCAATAATAAAAGTCTCTCCCTACTTGATCAATTTTATAAGAAAGTTTCCAAGTGGTGCTCTCAGGGGCAAAGATGGGTCAAGAATCCTGTTACATGGCATGTTAGGGAAGAAGGAAAGAACGTCCCAAAGGGGCCAGGTGGTTCCCAGAAGTGGTTGGTTGGGGGGAGGCTGTTGGCGGGCAGGAGACTGGAGAGGGATTAGAGCCAGGTCGAGAGAGCTGACACATCCCTCAAGAGCTATGGTGTGTTCTCACAAGTTTCTCCCCCAGAAATCAGTCAGGAAACTTAGCTCCTTCTCTAGCCAAGTAAGTGACTGGTTAGTCACCCCTCCCAACAGAAATAAAACAGCAGAGAGGGACTGTTACCAATCTCAGAGGGAAGAAATCACAAATATGTAGCCCATAGTAGAAGGATGCCGTTTCCCAGTTGTAGCACTGCCTATTCCTTTCATTGAACACTAATATTAAAAGTATTATCACTTTCCTCTTTTACCTGTTTTTGCTAAGTTGACAAATACTCCCACCTACCTTATAATTTGTTAAAACACATTTTCGGTCAAACTAGAAAATGGAATGACACTGTAACACAAGGCTCCGCCACGTGTACATCAAGAAAGGTTACACTGTGAGAGCTAGATATGCAAGTGATGTGCAGGGACGGGGCGCTGGGGACCTGAGGCTCGACCCAAGGAACGTATGGCCTGGTGGTTTGTCTGATTGTTTTCACACTTACGTCGCTGAGCCTTTCTCGGGAGCTGCTCCTGGGGCAGCCCTTCGATTCTCCGCTGGCGCTCTCACTGTCGCTGTCCCTGCAGCTGTTCTGTCCTGGCTTGAGCTATAGGCAAGACACAAGAAACAAGAAAGGTCAGTGGTCTCCTCACACAGCTGCTTCTTTGCCCCTGTTCTTTAAGCCTGGTCAAAAGGGAATAATTTAATTAAGGTCTTGATCTTTACCATTTTCTCAGTTTCTGAATAGTGCCAGGCAAGCTGCCACTGAAAGAAACACAGAGGGCAGGAAAAGCAAAACATTCACCATAAAATGCCAATGGAGATAGGAGTGAGCAAGCCTTAAATAAACACTTTGAAAAGTCTAACAAAGGTTCATAAATCTTGGAAAGTAATCTTCCCTCAGATTCTTCCTCTGTTCCATTGTCATTTTTTTTTCAATAATAAAAAGACCCAAAATACTGAACGTGCTAAAGCCAAATTACACCAACTATAACTTCCCACCTTATTTATTCTGTCCTCTTCTGAAAACAGCAATGACAACAAAACAGAACAAAACACAAGGTTTCCTTATCCTAAGAGGAAATGATGAGATGCTAGATGTTACCCTTTAAACACTGGGAAGACGCTTAAGGATTCTGTTTGATGAGAAAACATTCTAGAGGTTTCCTGCCAGATACACAGCTTAAGTAAATTAAGCCAGCAACCAATAGGTATTAAGTCCCACATTTGGGCCTGGTAGAAAGCACTGGAGATATGGTGATAAACTAAAAAAAAACAAAACCCTCTGATCTTACAAAGCTTACATTTTAGCAATTTCTACACATTTACCCAGCTCTGGTTTTCCATATAAATGAACAAACACACAGAGTTGCAAACATCAGTCTTTGTAAGACTGAGTCACACACATGGAAGATGAGTCTATCTGTGACATCATCACCAACCCCATCTGCAGAGACCCCAAGCAATTCATCCAGGTGACAAGACAGAGCCCCTTTACAATGTCCTCAATCTAGCAAGGCAGTGCGAGCAAAGCGAGTGTAACAACACAAGGAAATATGTGCTAAAGAAAAACCAAAAAGTAGCCAGTGACGTTCAGAGTGGAAGTGATTTCTGAAGCCTTGGATTTTAATAGCCGATTGAGCTCATATGGTTGAGTGGAAAGAAGACACCGCTGGAGAAGGGTGGGAAGGAAAGGCAGGGATAGGAACTCGCGAGGAAATGATCAGGGTCTTCTCAGAAACAGAGCTCCTTTGGGGAGGAAATAGGGAGAAATATTAGAGAGGAGGGCGCAGATCAGAACACATGGAAAGTCTCAAACAAAATACAAGCCCCGTATTTCTGGGCAAGAAGGAACTTTAAAGAGCAAGAAGGATAACAGGTTACAAAACTTTTGCCCACAGGTTTTCATGTGGCTTTGGGGCCAAAGGGGAAAACGAAACAAGATGAATGGACAACCCATCGTCAGCATTCCTTGTACCATTAATGCACCTCTTTAAAGGGTGCAGTTCAGACGGCACTTTTGATCATACAATCTAATCAGCGATCCACATATCCCCACTATATAGAAATTCCTTTTTTTCTTTCAACCTTTCTACCAATCTTCTTCTACCACCTTGACAGGGCCCGGGCACGTTCAGGCACACACAAGCAGGGGCCCGGAACACGAGACCCGGGTATGTCCAAATATGTGTAGGCTGGTGGGGTGCAGGACACAACCCCGGAGCCTGCTGTGCAGGCGCAATGGCTCCGGTTACATAAGCCCCTATGTAAATATGACTTACACTTGCAGGAGGGAGCATGCGCACTCCCATGCGCTCTCCTCCCCCAAACCACTATATAAGGTTGCTATTGCTGATTAAAGACGCTGGTTCCTTTTCACGTTGGCTCCATGTGCCTTTTATACACTGGGCATCTCACCACCAAAACCTCCCCTGCAACACCCCTGTGAGGACATGTGGTGTAGTTGTCAGGATGAGGTGAGTGCCCCCTCTGCCCCGTTGGAGGAACTGCCCCAGGTAGACGGGATGTGACCCCGGACATCCTTTTGGTACCTGGTCGCGGCGTACCTGCTGGCTTGGACTCTGCCAGAGGACTGGGACGCCGTGCGCCCCCGACCGAAAGATGTCCACAAAACCCTGGAGGCGTTGGAGCCGAATGTCCACTGGTGCACCAGGAGGTGGCCAGCCGAGAGGCCCAGATGTTCCTAGCAGTCATACGACATGCTAGCTGTGACATTCAGCAGTACGCAGGCCGGGTGCAGCAGTTACAGTGTTGGGAAGAGGATCTGGAGCAACACCTGGTGGTGGATGAACACATGCTCCAAGGGTCCCCCGAGTTGGAGGTGCCCTCCCGGGCTAGCAGCCCACCAGGGTTGGTGCGGTGTGCCCGACTGGTGGTGCGACAAAAGGTGGAAGTCAAGGAGCGCTGGATCCTGGAGGCGGGGCCGCCAGACCAGGCAGTCCGTGAGCCACACCTCCTACACTATGGACGTGGCCATGGAGCTGCGGGCACTCGCCAAGCAACGCAAGCAGCGTCTGGGTGAGTCGGTCCCCGCTTGATTGTTGCGCTTGTGGGATGACGGGGCCGACAATACGGAATTAAGCCCCACCGAGATGGCGCAGCTGGCCAGCGTCACCATGGTGCCCTCCTTGTGGCAGCATTTGCAAAACGTGCCCCAGACCAACCCCCAGCCAGTAATCAGACCCTAATTAATTGGCTCAGCTGCTACCCGTGCGGTCTGGGACAATGCAGGGGACTTGCCAGAGCATGTGAGTAAGTGGACCACCTTCTTGGACTTGGTGTAAGTCATACGGGAGATGGGCATGTGACAGATGATGTTTGCCTTACAGTATAACAGCCCCGATGAAGAGATATTTACAGCCCGCATGAAAGACCTTATCCTTGCTAATGGTCCACCTTTGGCACCATGGATGCCTTATTAGCCCCCTATACAGACAGACCAGTCCACGAGGTCACAGGGGGCTTTGGCTAGACTGGGAGACACAGAAGTCCGCCGGCAAGGCCCGACTGTGCAGGCGCGGACTGTATCCAGAAAGGGCATGAATCACCCCCATCCCCCGAAGCAGGCTAGGAAGCCACGCCCAAGGGACAAGGCGATGGGGGGGGGCCTGTTAAGGTGAGCCACCAGCAAATGTGGTTTGACCTGGTGGCCGCTGGGCTGGCCGAGGAGAAATCAGATGACCAGCCCCTTGAGGTCCTCTTGGCCCTCTGGTGGAAGCTACAGTTGAGCAGAAGTTTACCACATTACCTCCGAAGGAACAGAAGGGGACTGCCTGAGAGTTGCGCCTAACTGACTTCCTCCCAGGTTAGGGAACGGGCCAGGGCACCTGGTTAACGAGGGAGCTGGATGACCTGAAGCTGCACGTTGAGCTCACCATATATGGGTCCCCCCTGAAACATGTAGCAGGTGCTGGCCCTCGTGGACACTGAGGCAGACAGCACCCTCATATACAGCAATCTGGACCATTTTCAGGGCCCGAAAGCCACTATTGAGGGGTATGGTGGCCGGCACATCACGGTACATAAAGTCTCCATCACCCTGGGCATCAGACATCTACACATCCCCGCCCCCCCCCCAGAAACTATCAAGTCTATGTGTCTCCTATTACTCAATACATCCTCGGGGTGGATGTGCTCAGGGGACTGACCGTCATGACGACTGTGGGGGAATTCTGCTTGTGGGTGCGCGTGGTGAAAATGGTGGTTAGAGGACATCCCCACCACACATCCCTCCACCTGCCACAGGCCACCTAAGTGGTTAACATCAGACAATATCATCTGCTGTCCGGTGTGCATGAGGAAATCGGGCGTACTATTTTGAAGTTGGAAAAGGCAGGGGTCATAGCCCCTTCAACTCCCCGGTCTGGCCAGTATTGAAACCAGGCGGTTCCTGGAGAATGACAGTAGACTACCGGGAGCTGAATAAGGTGACTCCCCTGCTGTACGCCATTGTTCCAAACATTACAGAATTGATGGACCACCTCTCGCAGGAATTGGGACTGTTCCACTATGTGGTAGACTTGGCCAACACCTTTTTCTCCATTGACATTGACACTGCCAAGCCAAGGACAGTTCTCCTTCACCTGGGAAGGCAGACAATTGGACCTTTCATGTGTTACCACAAGGCTACCTGCACAGCCCAACCCTGTGCCACGGGCTGGTAGTGCAGGATTTAGCCTCCTGGGTCTAGCCTCGGACGGTGCGCTTGTTTCACTATATAGATGACATAATGTTAACTTCTGATTCTCTTACAGATTTGAAAACTGCCGCCCGCAGTCTCCAAGATGCCCTAATGGGTTTGGGGTGGGACATCAATGAGGACAAGGTCCAGAGCCCTGGCTACTCTGTCAAGTCCTTGAAAGTTATATGGTAGGGTAAGACAAAAGTAATTCCCAAGGCGGTCATAGATAAGATTCAAGCATACCCTCGACCAGACATGGTGAGGCAGTTACAGACTTACTTGGGGCTACTGGAGTTCTGGCGAACCTTCATACCGCATTTGGTGATGCTAATGCGACCCTTGCACTGGTTGATTCACAAAGGGGAGCCCTGGGATTGGTCCCCTGAAGCCAAGCAGGCGTTCAGGGCGACGAAACACGCCGTAGCACAGGCCCAGTCCCTAAGGATCGTTGACCCAACCCTGCCATTCCTCCTGACCATCCACGTGGAGGACTCTGTGTTTGGCTGGGGTCTCTAGCAAAAACAGGGCATGCGGAATACTCCTATCAGGTTTTGGTCCCAGCTCTGGAGGGGAGCCGAGGAACGATACTCTTGGTGGAAATACAATTAGCAGCAGCGTTCGCCGCCGTTGACCTGTGAAAGAACCACAGGCCCACACCCGGTCATGGTGCAAACGACCTATTCAGTGGAGGGCTGGCTTCGGTCTTGCACAACAAGGCCGCAAACTGGTGTGCCGCAAACACCAATGTTAACAAAATGGGGAGTCTATTTAGAACAATGGGCTCAGTTCTCCACTAGTCTATTGGCCCAGGAACTACATGCTCTTTGGGGGCCCATTGCTTTCTTCTCTGAGCGAGCAGAGAATCCTGTGGAAACGGGAGAGACTCCCAACCCTTTTGAGGATGG